GACTTGTGACATGCTGGCCACTGGGCTAGGCTGTGACAGAGTAAAAGCAAGCTGTCCCTGTAGACTGACCAGGCTGGTGGGGAGGGGGCTTGACCAGGGAATCTGACAGCATATAAGCTCGGTTCACTGTACCGAGAGAACACACCAAGGGAGAGACTCTTGGCAGTGTCCTGAACAGGAACTATAAAGTGAAGAGGTTGGGGCAGGTCAGTGGACTCCAGGATGGGATCCTGGCTGTGCAAAGGCCCTGTGGTGCCATGGGGGTGGTGGTCACAGCTTCCTTACAGAATCTCCCAGATTCTTAGAGTACTTCCATAGCTTCCATTACCCTCTAGATGAATCTTGACCCTCTTGGTATATGCCTGAGGAGTGTCTGTAAATCTTTGTTGCTATGCAGCTCATTAAGGATATAAGCCATAGAGTACTGTTTATCCAGCCGAGCTTCATGGTGTGTCAGGATGTTGGTAGGTCTGGGTGACAAAATAGGGCAAGACCAAGGTTCCTATGCCTGGGTCTGGCTGTGAGAGCCCAGCAGGGCCACCCTGGAGTGGGACATTCAGAAGACAAGGCTCACCAGGATTGAGTTGGGGCAGTGGCTGCTGCTCCTAGATGCCCAGCTCTTGCTTTTCTCCTGCTGTCCTCTAGATGGCGCAAGGGGACCAGGCATGAGCTGGGGCTCACAGACCACAGTGATCCATGTACAGTGATCTGGCCACAGAGAGGGTGGCTGGGGCATGTTCTTGAGCCCCTGGAGACAAGGTGGACTGGCTGAGCTCCCACCACAATCCAGCCAGGCTGGCCCTGAAGCAGGTGGAGGAGGCTGGAGGGCAGACTGGACTGGGCACCGACACCCCCCCCACCCCCAATGGCTGGCCCTGAGCCCTCTGTCCTGGGTTTTGAGGCCAGGGCAGTTTCCCCTTCAAGTGACAGCTCCTGCTGGCCATGAACCCCTTCGTTCAAAAGCAAGTGATTCCCAGGGCAGCTGAGAAGAGTGAGGAAGGGACAGGGTGCGGGAACTCTCCTGCTGGAGCACCCTGGCCCACACCCTAAGCCCAGTAGGACCAACAAGGTCTGAAGACAGGCCTCTCGTGCTTGACTGACACTTGCCTGACACCAGACAGCATATGCTTGAGAGAGGCCAGGTGCCTTCCGGTGGCCACAGCATGCAGCCTCTTCCTCCTGCCTCGGTTACCAAGATACACTCTGCCCCCGAGTCACAGCACGCTGCACTCTGCCCAGTCCTGGACCTGACTGCCTTGTCTCTCTACCTTTTGGCAGCTGGTTCTCATCCACCAGGTTTTCCTGAACAGGGTCTCTGGAGTTCTGCTCCCCAGGCAGCCTCCTCCACCTGTGGGTTAGGGGTTGTGGAGCCTGGGAGCCTAGTGCTGGTGCCTTGGGGCAGGGCGGTCCTTCAGCTGTGGTTGGTTCCTTCATCCTCTGCCACCCCATTTCCTGGCAGCCATCACACAGTGTGTACTTGGTGGCCCCAAGGGTGGAGGTCACTCGCCAATCTGTATTATTTGCTTGTTCATGCATGTACCTTAATTCAAGGAGAAGGATCCCTGCCCTGGTCACTCTGGGGCTTCTTCAGGGGGTGTGACCATCTGATCCTTGACCCTCCAGATTGGATCCCAGGCCAGTGGAGGAGGGGTCTTGTTTCGTTTCTTTCCAGTTTTTAGAAATCTCATTGGAAGCCTGGCTCACTGGTTTCTCTCAGGCATCTGGACACCCACAGGAAGTGGCTATACCCTTGTCCTTTGCACCACTGTGCTAAGTTCCCATCTGGGGCACTGGTTTTGAAGATAGGTGCAATGGCGGGATTCTGGGAGGTGGGCAGGTCAGGGCCTCACATGCCCACAGGAGCTTGTGGCTTGCAAAGCTGTGACGTGGGCACCCCTGGGACAGTGGTTTCTCCTTGGAGTCACCGTGGGGAGTGAAGGGAACAGGAAGGGCTGTTCTAGGCTTGCAGTGGCTGGGGCCCGGTGCTGTCACACTTCACCTCAAACTTGTGTCAGAGCAGTGGGTGACTGGTGTCGAGTCCTAAGTGACACCGTAGGTCAAATGGAAACAGCCTGCCCCGCCCGCGGAGGCCCAGAGAAAGTCACAGCTGTGTTTCTTGGATGTGTTTGCTTTGTGTTTGGGTCGCAGGCTCCAGCCACACTCCTTGTGTTTAAACTTGGGGTCAAGTCCGCCAACATTCCCCACCCGAACCCAACCCTGAGGCCCTCACAGCTGCTCACACCTCCTCCCTCAGGAAATCCTTGTTCTCCTGAGTGAGGTTCACTTTCCCCCTGGCTGTTTTCTGTCCACTGGGGCCAGCATCTCCTGGGACCCATCCTCACCTCCTGGCCTTTTCCATTCTTGCTTTGTTCTGATTCGTATTCTGGTCTCAGAGCCACATCTGGCACGGGCTGATGTCCACTAGAAGTCACTGGTTGCATGGGTCCCTATCTGTTCTCACGGGCTGCACTGCAGGGATGAGGCCCGTTCGCCATTCTGCTGCACAGCGGTTTCTGGAATTCCGTAAGTAGGGCCGAAGATGCCCATCCTCTCTCCTCCAGGGACCCTCCTGCTGTCTGGTGCCCAGGCTCTCCCAGCCTCCCTGCCGGTCTCCAGTGCCAAGCTGGCCTCCAACCTGTCCATCTTGCCCTTATGGTGGTGATTCCTGCCCATTGCTCACGGTCACAGTGAGAAGCCTGTCACTCTGGACATATGTCCTCTCTGCTGCTGGGCAGTCCTGGCTGTCCCTTCCACGCAGCTGCCAGATGCTGGTCTGAGTCAGGCGTGGCCCAAGGTCACATTCTTGTCTGTGGTGTGGCTGGGGTTTTGTGTTTGACGCCAGGCCAAGGCCCCAAGTTTACACCTGGCTCTGGTGTTGGCCAGGGGACACTAGTGGGTGGATGTGAGTCATTGCCCTCCTATGGCTCCTCAGTGAAAGGTACCTGAGTCCCTACCTTGCTGGTCAGCATGCTCTGGGTCTCCTCAAGGTCCCTCTTGCATCCCTGGCTTGGCAGCTGGATGGCAGTGACAGCTTCCCCCAATCCCAGCACCTCCCACAGAAGACTTGTCAAGGACTAATTAGTGACATGACTGTTGGATTAAAAGCACTGGTACCTTCCCTCCCTGAGGCCTGCAGGCTCCAGGCTGCCACACCACTCCTTCCCTGTCTTTCCCTGCCTCTCTGTCCTGCCCTGTGTGCTGGCTCCTTACCTCTCTGGGGAGGGCAATTGCTCAGCCAGCTGGGTAACACTTGGAGGACCAGAGGGGTGGCTCAAACAGTAGGACCCCTATCTTCACCATCCTGGGGACCAGAAGTCCAAAGTCAATGTGCAGTAGGGCCGTGCCCTGGCCAAGCCACCCTCTGCGCACCTGGTGAGATTGGATGATGGGCACCCCGGTGACCTTGTTTAGCCTGAATAATTTCCTCAAAGCCTTGTCTCCAAACATAGTCACATGGGGTTGGGCTTCCAGGTAGGCTGCAGGGCCGCGTGTGCCTCCCCCATGCCCTATGGCACATTTGCCTCTGTGACTTCTGCCCCTTCCCGCCTCCTTGGTCTTGCTGCAACTGGTTATATGTTTGTGTGTCACCGCCATGGCCCAGCAGCCCAGACAGAGGACAGGGCTTTGTGGCTCCTAAGTCTGTTGACCAAGAAAGGGCCTTGGAGAGGGGCATGCTGACTGCCGCTCCCTTGCTGATGTCCTGGGACTCCTGGGCTGTGCGACCCTGACAGCCGACAGCTGGGTCTCAGGCCTGGGTCTACATCCACATCTCCAGTTTGGGATGTTGGGTCAGGTTGCCTGGCAGAGAGGAGCCAGAGCAGCCGAGTAGCCCAGGCCTGGGGTGTTGGGCCTTGCCCCGAGAAGCAGACTAGGGGCCTTGTCACTTCTCACTCCCTCTGACATCTCCCTGCTGGTCTGGCACACCAGAGCCCACCCAAGCCCCTGCAGTTTCCAGCACTGGCTTTGCTATTCCAGGAATCTAAATGGGTTTTGCAGCCAGACACATCTTAGCCTCAGTTTCCCGCCCATGAGAGGAGAAACACAAATACGCTCTTGCAGCACTGCCCCTAGACCAGTGATGGTCTTGTCAGCGGTCTGCAGGGGCCAGGTACCCAAGAAGCCGCCACCCACCATAGCTGAGAACCCAAGCAGAAGTGCCCGCCACATACTCTGCCCAGGATCCTCCTGACTCAGCCACAGGGTGTTAAAGCCCTTTGCTTCCCTGTTCTGGTCCTGCCTTTCCAGGGCAACTCGCTGTGTCCCACAGCACCTGCTTGTTGGGGGCCAGAGTTTCCTGGCAGGAACAGTGGGAGTCTTGGTGCTGGTGTCTCTCATCTGCCCTGTGGCTCTGATGGTGGACACGGCATGACACTCTCTGAGGCCTCCTGTGGCTGCTCTGAGATTACTACAGGGTGGAATGGTGCTGCTCTCTCCTCAGCCCATGACACCATACTTTTGTTTTTTGGGTACCGAGGATTGAACCCAGGGCCTCTGCACCCAGCTATACTTCCAGACTTTTTCATTGCTTTTTATTTTGAGACAGGTTCTCACTAAGTTGCTGAATTGCCCAGGTTGGGCTTGGAGGGTATCTTTCTTTTTGAGACTGCAGGCCTCACACCAGCCTGTTTACCCCAAGATTTAGCAGGCAGCTCCCTCTGCAGCCCCATAGGCTGTGAGCTCTGGGCCACCTGGGTACCGAGAAAGCTGGGCCTCTGACACATCTGGCTCTAGGCCTGGTTCTCTGGGATGAAGGGCAGGGGCCAGGGTGAAGCCACACACCAGTGAGGCTGGAAACACACGCTTGCCATATCTTTATTGCACTTTTACCACATTGCAAACTATTTCACAAAAATGCTGCGAAGGTTAGCCTACTGCTCGGTGCCCGCTGACCCTGCGTGACGGGTTTATGCCAACTGTCCAAAGCAAAGCCAGCAGTGAGTGGCGCTGTCACAACAGGAAGGCCCAGCCTCCGCTGGGATAACCGTCACTGCTTCCACACGCTTGCCATATCTTTATTGCACTTTTACCACATTGCAAACTATTTCACAAAAATGCTGCGAAGGTTAGCCTACTGCTCGGTGCCCGCTGACCCTGCGTGACGGGTTTATGCCAACTGTCCAAAGCAAAGCCAGCAGTGAGTGGCGCTGTCACAACAGGAAGGCCCAGCCTCCGCTGGGATAACCGTCACTGCTTCACAGCGCTCACAAGGGACCCTGCGAGTCTAAGCACAGGCTGTGCTGTCCGTCTGGAGCCTCTGTCCAAACAGCCCTCTCCCATCTCAAAGGGCTGAGGCCCCAGAGTGGGGGGCAAAGCAGTTTTCATTTTGAATGAGGCCTAGAGCACAAAACGCGTCCAATGTCACAGTGACCCTGCCGGGCAGGAGCCACAGGACGGGGAGGCGGCCCTGCTCCGGGCAGATGGCTGTCTGTGCACACGTGTGCCTCACATAAACCCCAAACAGAAGTCAGCAGAGGTTTCCTCTCCCCGTGGAAGGATGGGCCGCTCTGCACAGGCGCAAACTCGGCCTTCCCGCCTCTTCCGTCTCAGAGACTCGAGAAATGCACCCTTGTGGGCCACATGGAAGGGTGGCCGGTAGCCACGTGGGCACGGCCCTCCTGTCTCTGAATTCACTGAATTCACCAGTGGCGCGTGTGGCCGAGTCTCCCCGCTCTCGGGCGGCAGGTCACTACCTCTCAGTGGCCACTCTGTGCTCAGTGTCCAGGTCGTCCTCCACCACGCTGCCCAGCCCGTCCTTCTCGACGCAGGTGCGCACAGCCTGCAACACGATGCGGAGCCGCCGATCCAGGGCCTCCAGGTGCAGCTGGTACAGCACAGGTGCCACCCGGTCCCGCTGCAGGGACTCGGACATCAGCAGGCTCAGCTTGTACTCCTCCCTGGCCAGCAGCTGTAGCCGCAGGTAGGTGGACTTCCTGATCCTGCCGGAGGGAGAGGTCAGTGGAGTGGCCATGGGCTGAGACAGGGGTGGGCGGGGGACACAGAGACGGAGAGACAGACAGAAAGAGAAACAGAGACAGAGAAAGAGAGGCACAGAGAGGCTCAAGATCAAATCCCCACTGGCTGCCGTGCTGTGTGTGGCCGGGAGGGCCCTGCCTGGCAGACACAGGGTGAGGCCAGCCTGTCCTGAAGGACTCTCCCCAGCCCGATGGCCTGGGCATCAGGCAGACGCTGAGATCTCCTGAGGGAATCACAGACCACTGTGCCCAAGCCTGGCCCAGCCATGAGAAGAGGGACAGACTTGAGACCCCCAGGAGTGGACAGGCAGGACCTGGCAGCTTGGTCAGGCCAGTAGCTTGCTCAGGCCCAGGGTCCTCACAGGATGGTCCTGGTTGGCGAGAAGCACATCTACGACCATGGACCTGGGGTGGGGCACTGGGGTGGGAGGGGGGTGTGACTTGGAGATGTAGACCCCTCTGCAGGGGCTGGGGGTCGGGTAGGCACCACCTGACCTGCCCCTCATGGTGACAGCTGGGGGCTTCAGGGAGGAAGGGACGCCACAGGGAGGAGAGAGGGGAGGTGGCTGTACCTGCAGCACTGCTGTAAAGGCACCAGGATGGAAAGCTCATCGTGTGAATATTTTCCAAACCTGCTGGAGGAAATAGCTATCAGAGGCCCTTGCAGGCTGGGGAGGCAGACAGTTCTCTGCTGCGCATCTACACTGGCTCTAGTGTGGGGCCAGCCTCTGCCTGGGCCCAGTTTAGCTGTACTGGTGTCTTTGCAGGGGCCACGTGACTGCATGTGACAATCCAGGTGCCCAGCACTGACCCGCAGTGTCCGACACAGCAGATGCCAAACGGTCTCTTCTGGAAGGAAAATTCTTTTGCTATTGTTATTCACTCCCCACCCAGCTGGTCTGGGCCACCTTCCACCAGACACAACCACTACTTACTCCTCAGCCCTAATCATCCCTGTTTCTCCAGGGTGGCAGGGGTCCAGAAGGGGGCCGCCCTCCTTCCTGCTTGGGGCTGGCACCCTGTGCTGGGCTGGGCCCATGTGGGGGATCAGCCCACAGTGCTGTTGGGGAGAGAAGCACCCACCCTCTTCCATTGTCCAAATGGATGATGAACGTCTCATTCCCAAACTTTTCAAAGGTCTCGTAGTGGTGCCGATCCATGTTTCCTGTGGGGACAGCAACTGAGTTTCCTCTGCCCACCCAGCGGACCGCAACCCAGCCCTCGTGAGCCCTGAGCCCAGGCAGCGTCCCATGTCAGCTCTGGTGCCACTGGTCAGCACAGGGTGAAGGTCCTGGTCGTGGGCTGCTGGTCCTACCCATGAGGAAGTCGAAGATGGTCATGTCCATGACATCCAGGACACGGTGGCCACTGTCATAAGGTGGTGTCTGCTTCACCTCCTCACAGTAATCAGGGTCCACTTCCCACCTGCAGGGGACAGCACGAGACAATGGGTCTTCCTCTGTGTAGTCAGGGAAGTCCATGCAAACTCTGGGTGCTGCCCAGCTCAGGGGGGCACAGAGGCCAGTGGGCTTATGCTACACAGAGAGCACTCAGTGGAGACCAAGTGTCTGTACCACCATGGTCTGTGAGGCCTCATTAACAGGAGTACAGGGCCGGGAGGTGATTAAGATGCTCTACCTGCCTCCATGAAATCAGGACTGGAAGCTACTATCATCAGCTCTGGGTGTGTGGATTTGGAGGGTCACTGCTGAGAATCAGTGCCCAGACATCACAGGGGATATACTGGCTGAAAGAGCCGGGGACATTCCTTCCCACACAGGATGAGAGGGACAGGGAGCAAAGTCTGGGCTCAACCTTGAGGAACACGTTCTGAGGGACCCTCAGAGCAGTCTGCACCGCTGAGGCTTTTGGTTCTCACACACACAAGCTCCTCCTGGCCGCCACTCATCCTCGCTGGCCATCTCTGCCCTGTGGCCTTGGACCCAAGACCCATATACTCACTCTGCCTTCTTGCGCTTATGGTAGGAGCGCCGCCAGGGGTTCCGCCAGGTCTTCCTCTTGGCCAGCGACAGGTCGGGCAGGAAGGCAGCCAGCGAGCCTTCTATCTGGTCGGGTCTCCCGCACAGCGCATGTTCCGTGGAGCAGTAGTAAGAGCACTCCCCGTAGAAGCAGATATTGTTAGCTGGGGGAGAGATGGCCAGGTCACCTGCACTGGTCCAGTGGTGTCCTTCTGTGCCCGGCCAGGACTATCCCCATGTGTCATAGTGAGGCCCCTCCAGACCTCACCTGGCCTTGAAGACCACCTCCAATCCCCAGAGCCCACAGTGAGACTTCCAAACAGCCACACAGCCTCACCCTCACAATCGGCAATGGCAGTCTAGGGTGATTCTAGGGTCAACATTCAAGAGCTCAAAAAATGGTCCTTGCTGTGAAGAAAGTGAAGAGATTGTCTACAGAATGGAGAAAACACTTGCAAATCATGTATCTGATGGGGAGTTAGGGTTCAATACATGTAAAGAATGCCTACAACTCAGTAATAATAAAAAAGAGCCCAATTTATAAGGGCAAAGGACTCAGATGGACCTTTCTCTAAAGACACCCCAATGGCTAATAAGCTCACGAGAAGGCACACTGTCAACACCATTGGTCATCAGAGAAACAAACTGTTTGTTATCTACACAGAAATCCCACCTCATACCCACTAGGGTGGTTCTGATCCAAAGACCAGGTAGTAGCAGGCACTGGTGAGCATGTGAAGTAGAGGAAGCAGTACAGGAGTGAGATGGGGTGGCAGTGGGAAGGCAGCCTGGTGGCCCAAACCCCATCAGGGCGTCATCAGGGACTCAGCCACTCCAGTCCTAGGTTCCTATGTACAAGATGCGAAGATGCGATCCCAAAGACTCCTCATGCTCCAGAGGGAACAGCAGGAAACCAGACCAAGCACTGGCCAGCTAACCAATGGATCCACCGAACGCGGGATTTCCAGACCACAGAATATCATCTGACACAGGCTGAGCTCAGGGGCTCGGTGAGACGCCAGGCTGGATAAGCCACGAGTGTGACTCTACTTATACAGGGCATGGAGAGCAGCAAATTTTATGGCAGAGTGGACAGGAGGTCGGTAGGGGCTGGGAGGATCTGCGTGGTGCCGACAGGTATGGGATTCTTTCTGGAGTGAGGGAACCATTCTGGACCTGGATGGTGGTGTCTACACTGCATCGTGCTTGTGACAAAACCACCGAATCACATATACATATATCATATATATATATATAT